GTTGCCCAGGCTGGTCTAAAACTCGTGGGCTCAAGCAATCTTCCAACCTTGACCTCCCAAAATGTTGAGATTACAGGTGTAAGCCACTGTGCCCAGCCTAATTTTTCATTTTTATGGGCCGTAGTAGGTATATATATTTATGGGGTACATGGAATATTTTGTTACAGGCATGCAGTGTGCAATAATCACATCAAGGTAAATGAGGCGTCCATCACCTCAAGCATTTATCATTTCTTTGTGTTACAAACACTCCAATGATATTCTTTTTGTTTTTGTTAAATGTGTAATGAATTATTGTTGACCGTAGTCACCCTGTTGTGCTATCAAAAACTAGGTCTTATTCATTCTACTTAACCATGTTTTTGTACCCATTAACCAGCCCCGCTTTTCCCCCAACTTCCCCACTACCTATCCCTCCTAGCCTTTGGTAACCATCACTGTACTCTCTGACAACTTTTCTGTAACTCTAAATTTATTCCAAAATAAAAAGTTTATTTAAAAAAGAGGGAGAAAACAGAGTGTGGAGATATCCAGATGACAGAATGTGGTGAATTTGAGACTACACGCTCTTTCCACTGTCGCCGTGCAGAAAGGCCACAGGGACATCTATAAACACCCTGCTAAAGTCAGACTGGACTTCCAAGGAAGTGAGGTGGGTACCCAGGGGACAGAAACCAAGATAGAGATAGAAAGCAAAGCAATCCTATTGCTCCAGAGCCCTGGGTAGGGCATCAGCCTCCATAATGCATGGACTGGGGTTTAACACCCACACAGGGTAGGAGGTGAAGTCAAAGCTATCTAAAGCAGGGAATTGAAACTGGAACCCTTTCTTAGAGCACAAACTCATGAAGAGTTTCATCTTCAGCGGAAGGGGAACCAGGGGGAAAAATAACCTCCTACGGTCACAGAGAGATGACAAAGAAGTTTGCTTCATTCTAAACTCAGGGAAGAAAGCGCTAGACGTCCCTTCTGCAGTCTTCGTTAGTGAGGTCCATGTTGTCAAATATAAACAGAATGTTAAAGCAATGCCTTCAGTGCTTTTAAGCCATGGGCTTAGATTAGTAATACATTTTTAACTCTAAAATTAGAGAAATAGCAGACACTATACTTCTCATTAGTTGCGGGGGTGGTGTCTTAACTTTTGTTGAAGAAAATATGAACAGGCTAAGAAATGTGAATGCTTACTGTGATGTTTTGTGTTGCTGCACTGTGGGGTTATTTTACATTGTTGGAGTCCTGTCTTCCATCTAGGGCAGGGTTTCTCAATCCTGGCACTACCGACATTTTGGGTCGAATCATTCTTTGTTGTGGGGACTTGTTCATTATAGAATGTTTAGCAGCACTCCTGGCCTCTACCCATTCGATGCCAGTAGCCCCACCACTTCCAGTGGTGATAAGCAAAAATATCTCCAGGCGTCGTCCAGTGTCTCCTGGCAAGGGGTGGGGGCAAAATCGCCCCTCACCGTTTGAGAGTGACCAACCAATTTCAGTTTGCTGGGAACTGTAGGGGTGCCCAGGATGTGGGACCCTCAGGGTTTTGTAGTAGCAGTTGTTGTTGTTGTTTTGAGTCAGGATCTTGCTCTATAACCCAGGCTGGATGGAGTGTAGTGGTGTGATCGTGGCTCATTGCAGTTTCGACTTTCCGTGCTCAATTAATCCTCCCACCTCACGGTAGTGAGGACTGCAGGCACACTCTACCACTCCCAGCTAATTTTTGTATTTTTATTTTTATTTTTTTATTTTTTGAGACAGAGCCTCATTCTATCGCCCAGGTTGGAGTGCAGTGGCGCGATCTTGGCTCACTGCAACCTCTGCCTCCCTGGTTCACGCAATTCTCCTGCCTCAGCCTCCCAAGTAGCTGGGACTATAGGCACCTGCCACCACGCCAGGCTAATTTTTTTTTTTTTGTATTTTTAGTGGAGACAGGGTTTCACCTTGTTAGCCAGGATGGTCTCCATCTCCTGACCTCGTGGTTCACCTGCCTCAGCCTTCCAAAGTGCTGGGATTACAGGCGTGAGCTACTGCACCTGGCAATTTTTGCATTTTTTATAGAGACGGGGTTTCACCATGTTGCCCAGTCTAGCCTCGAACTCCTGGATTCAAGAAATCCACCCACCTCGGCCTCCCAAAGTGCTGGGATTACAGGCATGAGCCACCGCTCCCAGCCAGGACTCTTGATTTTAAAACTGGGATGGTCCTGGGCACATTGGGATGGCTTGGCCACCCTACTTTCATCTCTAATACGAGTATTTAGGATGTCAAGTAATTTTAGGATGGGTGGGAGTGAGCAAAGTGGTTTATCACCAGCAAATACTGAGTCATTCCAGTCACTCCTGGACAAACTTAGCCAAGTTCTCACCGATGAGTGTCCTTGGTTACTGAGTGGAAAGAAGGTGGAAAGCATTTGCTACTTCTCGTCCATGCTAAGGGAGAAACTGATGAAAAAGTGGCCCTACGCAGCAATTCAGTGGAGCCTTTTTGTGTTGTAGGCAGGGCCCGCAAGTCCCCACAAAGAGCTCAGCAACACCCAGCATTACAAAGGGCCCATCAACCCTCTTGGCCATTGGCACTTTAAGGCATCGAGGTGATATTCTCCTAGACCAATGCTCTCCATCAAGAAAGATGGGACCTGAGTCCCAGAGGGGGGTGGGGACAGGCCAAGGTGCTATGCCCATTTACCTCCCCAAACAGAGGTCTTTCCTTTTGCCATGCAGAAGAGGATTAAGAGAGCAAATTCTGAAGCAACAGGCTCCAGTTTGGAGACTGGCATGCATTGAAAGAGAGTTGGCCAGGATTGAAAAGGATGGGTGGGGAGGTATCCCTGATCAGCACAGCTGCTGGGGTCGGGGAGAGGCCATTCTGGTCCAAGGGGAAAGCCCAGTGGCACTGACCAACCCTGAGAAGCATGGCCTGGAACCTGCCTGCCTAGCACAGCTGTCTTGATGAAAGCAACTGTCCCTTTCTTTCCCCAGAGAAATGCTCAGAGGTGCACACACAGTTTTGATTTTGCATTTGATTCTGGGGAATTCACTGGATCCCTGCAGCCCATCAATCTGGGTTATAAAGCCCTGAGCTAATCATTAATAACCATACATTACACAATCCATATATCGCAAGTACTTGGTGAATTTATTTGGCCCAGTCAATTGACCCAGTAACCCCATGAAGCAGATGCTATAAAGATCATGAACTATTCTTAGACCTGCTAATTTCCCATCATGAAGCATCATGCCAACTTTATGAGCAAAAACTTAGGAGTTGGGAAGCCTGGGTTCAAATCCTTACTATGCCACTTACCTGCAGGATGATCTTGGGCAAGTCACTCAACCTTAGCCTCAGTTTCCCTATATGTGCTCGGCATATAGGGAAACTATAATAAATGCTCAATGAATGTTGTTCATTACTTTATTACTTCATGAGCTCAGCCAACCACTATAGTGGCTTGAAGGCAAAAAATCCAGTAAAGAGTGACCTTCATCCCCCCTTGAGTGGGTGGCTGCAAAAGGCACCCCAGAGATCATCTAGTTTGAAGGTCAAGTTGGGAAAGAATGAACCAGCGTCTCACAGCGGGTCAGATACAGAGCTGGGGGTATGACCCAGGCTTCCCAATCCCCTAATAGATTTCACCCCCGCCCACTGCCTGTCTTCATGGACAAGCCATCCAACCTAGTATGAGAAAGGTTCTCAGCCTGCCTGTCTCTTCCCGCCAGTCATCCTGAGTCGTGGTTTCCAAAAAAAGTATCTCCTAAGAAGCTTTCAGAGGGGCTGAGACTTGAGAGAACTTTGCTGTCTAAACATGTTATTTAAAAAAAAATTCTTTTCAGAATTAAGAACAAATCCTGAACTCCAGGGGTTCGATGGGCAAAAGATATAAATAGTCTTGGCTATAGCTTGGCAATAAACACGTGGGAAGCTGTGTACTCTTGCCAGATAGCCCAGCATTGCAAATTGAAACAAGATACCCTTTTTTTTTGGCTTATAAAATTTGCCAAGATTGTCATGAAAGTGATAACACTCAGCTCTGGCAAGGGCAGAGTGAAATGGGCACTCTCAGACATTACCGTGGGAGGATAAATTGCTTCCAGGAGGCAATTTAGCAAATTGTATTAAAGCCTTAAAACTCTCTCCTCAGAAAATCATCAGAAATGCCAAAAAAAGCTTTATGCACAAAGCTGCTCATCTCAGAATTATTTGTAATGGTTTAAAAAATAGAGAAGCTATCTAATTATCCAAAAATAAGAGAATGGTTAAATAAACTTTAGGAGAGCCACTCAGTAGAGAACTCAAGAGCTATTTAAAACAATGTTTACAAAAATGTATAATGACATGGGAGAAATGCTTATACGCTTTAATTTTTAGAAATCAGAATACCGACTGGTATATAGAGTACCATATAATCACATTACATTAAAAAAATCACTGCATACAAATGTGACATGAGAAAAAAATGTATCAAGGCATTAACATTTTCCGGGTGTTCTATGATGTGCACGTATTATTTCTATAATTTAGTAAAATGTAGATATGTATGTGCTTTTTGGATCTTAAGCATATAATTGAATTGATGATAATGGAACATGTTTTACTTTCATTCTTGAAAGTATGTACAAGGAGGCACAGCGGCTCACACCTGCAATCCCAGCACTTTGGGAGGCTGAAGTGGGAGGATCACTTAAGCTCTGAACTTCAAGACCAGCCTGGTCAACATAGTAAGACCTCCTTTCTACAAAAAAAATCAAAAAATTAGGCAGGCATGTTGGCACACACCTGTGGTCCCAGCTACTCAGGAGGCTCAGGTGGAAGGATCATTTGGGCTGGGAGTTGGAGGCTGCAATGAGCTATGATTGAACCACTGCACTTCAGCCTGGTCAACAGAACGAGACTCTCTTAAAAAAAATTAAAATTAAAAGATTGTAAAGAAAAGAAAATAGGTAGGAAGCTGTGGAAACAATGTCCGCGCTGCCAACCTTCCTTCCTGTCTGTTTACTTTCTGCTTCCAGCCCTGCCGGAGCTGCCCCAGCCTTCCCTGTGCCCCCTGTTCTGGATGGAGTTCAAAGGCCACTGCTATCGATTCTTCCCTCTCAATAAGACCTGGGCCGAGGCTGACTTCTACTGTTCTGAGTTCTCTGTGGGCAGGAAATCCGCCAAGCTGGCCTCCATCCACAGGTAAGTGGGATCCCAGTTACCTTTAGTTCAACTAAGCACCCCTTTGGGAAACGGGATGGAAAATGGTATTTCCAAGTGGCATTTCTCTTTGGTAGTTGAAACTCTTTGAAAAAAAAAATAGAGATGGAGTCTTGCTACGTTGCCCAGGCCAGTCTCGAACTCCTGAGCTCAAGTGACTCCCCCTTCAGCCTCCCAAAGTACTGGGATTATAGGCATCAGCCACAGTGCCTGGCCAACTGAAACTACTTTTTATCCAACTCAATTGCTCATTGAAACCATCCTTGGCTATAGAAGGCAAAGCATTCAGCAGGGGTAGCAAATAGTATGCTGGAAGATCCACCTTTATAAGTGCCAATCTTGTGCTGCCTTCCGCTCCGTATCCTGTGATACAACTGATATATTACACATGTAAAGAATATAATGCAAAGCATATGACAAATCATAACACACTTATTTGCTGCATGTTTATGTACATCATCACATTGAAGTTCTGTTAAACCCTATCCCATGGGTATCTTCATTTTCCAGATTAGGAACATGAGACTCTGAAAAGGTAAGTAATTTGCTCAACGTTACACAGCTCTTAAGTGGGAGAACCTAGTTTTGAGCCTGTGGAGTCAAAATCATAGCCCACCCTGCAAGGCCTTCTTCCACATTCCTCTCTGTCTGAAGCCCCAGGCACACTGACCATCTCAGAGTTCTCCAGTTTGGTCCAGCTCTTTTACTCCTCCATACTCTTAGACACTCTATTCCCCCTCCTAGGAATTTCTTCCCTATCTTCTCCTCCAGGTAAATACCTCCTCAACCTTCAAGAAAGCTCTGACAACATCTCTTCACTGAATTAACTTCTGACACCCTAATTACACTCATTATCCAGCTCTCCTGGTACACTCCCTTTATGATAGCAGAGCCACCTGCATCTGACTTCTTTGCTGATTTGTGAATTTTCTCAGGCCAGGTGTGATGTGTTCCATTGGCACCCAAGCTGTAAATCACAATCTTACCTCTGTTCTTCAAGAATCTCAGAAACTACTTTAGAAAGAGAGTTGGATTTTCAACAACAACAACAACGACAACAACAAAAACTTTTATTGGTGACATTGAAGAAAAGGTAGCTGGGGGTGGGGGTGGGGAGGCTACGTGGGTGGCCCCTCCTGGTCTTCCCGCCCCATCCGTGCGATCAGCTGTTGCCGCCTGGCGCATGCGCATCATGACGAGGCTCTCGCGGTGCGTCTCCGGCAGCACTGAGCCCTTTGACAGTCCTGGGTGGCTGCGGCCCATGGTGTCCTGGGGCTGTCCCTCCAACCAGGAAATCTTCAGAGGGCTATCCACCAGGCCAGCTTCATTCTGAACAGCCAGCTCCGCAGCCCTGACAGTCGCGAACTCCACCGCAGCAGTGCCTGCCTTCTTACTGGAAAGTACCAGGTTGAGAACCTCACGTTACTTTTGCACAAGCCGTAGGAGGCCGTCTTTGGAGTAGCCACCTTCTGCCTCACCCTCCTTCTTGCACTTCCATTTTAGCTTTAGTCTGGAGGTTCCTTGGCCTTCAGTATTTTCTGTCTTTCCTGTCAACCTCTGGTCATGCTCCTGGCGTTTCTGCTCCCGGAGGAGCCTCTGCTGTTCCTCCGGCTGCCGGGAACCCTCGTCTCTCAGGTGCTCGATCTCTTGCTCTAGTGTCCTCGTGCTCCGGCTCTCCTCCTCCTCCTCCTCACTCTCCTGGGCCTGGGCCTGGGCCTGGGCCTGCCGTTCCCGGGCATCCAGATCAAGCTTCACTTTCTTCCCTTTCTCATCGTTTCTGGGTCCTCTCTGCTGCCTGCTTCTTGGCTTTCCTGACCCTGCCCTGGCTGCAGCATGGGCCAGCACCTCTAAGGCCTGAGAAAGCTGGTGGAAAAGTTCAGCTGCTCTAGGATTATCTGGATTTTTGTCTGGGTGGCAGGAGAGGGGCCTGAGAAAGCTGGTGGAAAAGTTCAGCTGCTCTGGGATTATCTGGATTTTTGTCTGGGTGGCAGGAGAGGGGCCTGAGAAAGCTGGTGGAAAAGTTCAACTGCTCTGGGATTATCTGGATTTTTGTCTGGGTGGCAGGAGACGGTCTTCTGCCTATAGGCCTTCTTCACCTCTTTGTCCTCCGCCTTCTCCTCAATGCCTAGCAGCGTGTACAGGTCCATTTGTAAGAGCTCCTTGGTCACTGCCATGGTTCCTGCCTGATGCAATCGTACTATCGAGAGTTGGTTTTTCATGTGCAGAGCCACTGACTTTTGTTAAGAATAGGGAAAGGGGACCAGGTGTGGTGGCTCACGCCTGTAATCCCAGCACTTTGGGAGGCTGAGGCAGGTGGACCACTTGAGGTCAGGAGTTGAGACCAGCCTGGCCAATGTGGCGACATCTTGTCTCTTCTAAAAATACAAAAATTAACCGAGTGTGGTGGTGCACGCCCGTAACCCCAGCACTTGGGAGGCTGAGGCAGGAGAATTGCTTGAACCCAGGAGACGGAGGTTGCAGTGAACCAAGATTGCGCCACTGCACTCCAGTCTGGGTGACAGAGGGAGACTCTCTCAAAAATAAATAAGTAAATAAATAAATAAGGGGCTGGGTGCAGTGTCTCATGCCTGTAATCCCAACACTTTGGGAGGCTAAGATGGGAGGATTGCTTGAGTCCAGGAGTTCAAGACCTGCCCAGGTAACACAGCAAGACCACATTGCTACAAAAAACACAAAATTAGCCTGACGAAGTGATGCACAACTGTAGTCTTAGCTACTCGGTAGGCTAAGGTGGGAGGATCACTTGGGCATGGAAGGTTGAGGCTGCAGTGAGCCATGTTCAGGCAACTGCACTCCAGCCTGGGTAACAGAGCAAGATCCTATCTCAAAAAAAAAAAAATAATAGAGAAGGGGTTCTTTATCTTAGTTTCCAAATACTTCTTGAATCCACTCATCTCTTCCTCCAACAGATGTATTGAACAACCAGTCTATTTTCAGTGGGACTGAGAAATATGCTGAGACAGTCAGGTTCCAACTAGGAAAACCAGAACTACTACTGGTATCTAAAACAGATAATTTAATATAGTCAAGCGATGGAAGCTCAGAACTTAAAAAGGAGTAGTGAGACAAACTAGAAATACATAAGAGCAGAAAGCCAATTCCATGCTTGAGTTGGAGGGCAGGCCAGTTCTATGGGATTTGGAGCCATGGAGGAGAGGCAGCCCCTGCCAGAGACTCCCAAGCAGAGGGGGAAAGAATGTTTTCTCCCTCCTACCCATCTGCCAATGACTCATAAGTGCCCTGCATTAACTGAAAGCCAGCTAACATGGAGCCCTAGGAAGGACATTCTTTAGGGATCAAATCTGCTATGAGAGCATAGCACAGTACAAGGTTGGCACTTGTAAAGGCAGAGGACATTCTCAAAGAATCCCCAGCCTAGAGAGGAAAATGAGGTATATGTAATAAAAAGCGAATGCAAAAGTGATTCCAAATCAAGGCTTTTCTCTAGAAAGCCCTCATTGTACTTGCAACCCCAACTGCATCAGAAAAACCCTGAAAGTGGAGAAGCAAACTAACCAGCCAGCCCCTGGGGGAACAGGATCTTTGGGCTGTTCAAGTGGTCAAGGATTGGATAGAAGATATTTGTGGAAGGTTTCCTGGAAGTACTGATCCTGGATCAGTATCTTAAAAGATTGGGAAGCTTAGGGGATGAGGGCAGCAGGTGTTCCAAATGAAGAAAGCTGTGGGGGACAGTATGAGCATTGATTAAGGGCATTAGAATCAGGCAGTTCTAGACTCTAGCCCCAGCTCCATCACTTCCTACCTGCACCATCTTAACCAAACCACGTAAACTCTAAGCCAAAGAGTTCTCAACTTGGAAAGAGCAGTAATCACACTGATCTTTTAAAGTGGTGAGGGATTAAAGGTGATCATGCATCTAATGTTCTTATACAGCACTTGGATAACTCCCTGTCCAACAGTAGGAGTTATTATTATCTTTATTAATTATAATAAATTATAATCCTGCCTTGAGGAGGCCAGTTCTTTAACATTCCATACCAGTTCATCTTTCTGAGAGTGAGCAAGCCTTGTCTCACTCTTCCTCTTTCCTTTCCTCCAAGAGTATTTGTTAAGTAACTCGCTGCATGTGACTGGCTGGAGCACTGTGTTAAGACAAATTCTGAGTGCCAGAACTTTAAGTGCTTCTAATATGGAATTGATTGCCAATCAATTCCACTTCACTAACACAAAACTTAGGAGAGTAAATATGAGTGCTTTGATTTACTATCAATGCCTCCAGAAGAAAGAAATCTTCCAGTGGTGGGTATTTTAGATAAGGTAGCAGCCTTCAGAGAGCAGTCATTTGGAAGAAGCTGATGGGAACAGATACACCTTATTGCAACATAAAGAGTACCCCAACATGGCCCTGTTTTGAAGTGAAGTATTAAGTTTATGGCTGATTATTATCATTCTGTATTGACTTCGTTGACATACTAAAGTTCACCGTTTAGTGGCATGTGAAAGCCAATAGTGGGAATCATTTGTTCAGTGGGATCTGTCATCTGGGTCTGTGAATGATTTCAGGGAAGTGTGCCTACCATGTGTCCATTTGCTGTCACAACCCTTGCCCATTCTTCTAACCTTTACAAACTGCCTTTGTCAGGCTTGTTGATATGGGCCCTGGATGAGCAGTTGTCGCAGCTTGTCTTCAGCATCTTCAGTTGCAGCAGCTCCAAATTTTGTGTCCAGACATGGCTACAACCTAAGGAGAAAGGGCAGTACTAGAAACTTGGACCTTCTCCACATACCTCCCTCCTTTCATCATGGAGGAAACTGTCCCCAAGATGTCCCCATAAACGTTGCCTTAAATCTAACTGGCTATGCTTGGTCATATGGCCAATGTCAGCTGCAAAGGGAGCTGGGAAAAATGAAATTTGGCTTTTCTGGGTCATAATGGAGTCAATGGGGTTAGAGATTAGGAATGGCCATGGGATAGACAAGCAGTAGTATCTGCCCTAGTGCCTGTTTGTTGTGAGAATAAAATGAGTTTCTACACGTATAGCACTTAGCTTAGTACCTGGTGTGAAGTCAATGCTCAAGAAACATTTTGATAGTAGGATGAAAATAATTATGTGTTGATTTCTCTACCTATCTATCAGTCTACCTGTTCATCTGTCCATCCATGTATTCATTCAATCCACCCATCCATCCACCTATCCACCAACCCATTCATTCATTTGTCTATCTATCCACTCATCCATCCATTTATTCATCAATCTATCCATCCATCTCTACTTCTTTGTTGGTTTTGGCGGTGGACTGTCAGCAGGGTCGTCCACCGATTCCTTTTGTTCGATGAATTATTTGATAAGCTCTTTGAAATAGAGGATAAGAATACCCCCACAAGACACCCGTGACGTCTAAGGATGGTGGGCTGTTAACTGAGAGGCTCAGTTTTGCTAAGTGGGCCATGCAAATTCAAGCCTAGAGCTGTGTTTCCCAGGAAAACAGACATTTTGGAGATGGTGTGTGAAAAAGGACTAGGAGAGAGGGGGATATATTATAAACTGACAGTGTAAGGAGGGCCTTTGATGGAGAAATTACTGGTGGAAGTGTTCATTGACTTATGTGATGTGTGCAACGCAATGTAAACTCCTTTCATTGTCTTTTCATGATATCTTCAATATAATTCACCTCATTTGCTAGTGTTTTTGAGATGGATTTAAGGTTTTAGGGATGAGTAGCAGTGCTGAGTCTGTCTTTGAAGTGGCTTAGGTCAAATCCAGAGATGCCCATGTGGGACCGGCCACACATGGGTGACCTAATGAAAACTGAAGGCCAAATAGGATCATGTCCTCTATTTACTTTGGTCCAGGAAGGTAAATAAGAATTGCTTTCAATTTTTGACTCCATCCTATGAAAAGAGGCAGTGAGGAATCAGCTACTATGTTTCTTACGTTTGCAGCTGGGAGGAGAATGTCTTTGTGTATGACCTCGTGAACAGCTGTGTTCCCGGCATCCCAGCTGACGTCTGGACAGGCCTTCATGATCACAGACAGGTGAGAAAGCAATGGCCATTGGACCCCTTGAAAGTTCCAACCAGGATTCTTTTTGATTTAATAAACCTTTCACATCTGTGCCAGGTCACGGCTAAGCACACAGCAAACAGAGAAATCAGACACCAAATGCCACAGTTACAGCGTGACCAATTTGTGAAAGACATTTAATGATGTCCTACTAGATGATGCAAACAGATAGCATGGTCAGAGAAAACCTGTTTGGCTTGGGTTCTCTTAAAAAAAAAAAAAAGTCACTAGGCTGGGTGTAGTGGCTCACACCCATAATCTCAGCACTTTGGGAGGCTGAGGTGGGCGGATCATGAGATTAGCAGCTTGAGAACAGCCTGGCCAACATGGTGAAACTCCGTCTCTACTAAAAATACAAAAATTAGCCAGGCATGGTGGCAGGTGCCTGTAATCCCAGCTACTCAGGCGACTGAGCCAGGAAAATTGCTTAAACCTGGGAGGCGAAGAGGTTGCAGTGAGCCGATATCATGCACTCCTGCCTAAGTGACAGAGCAAGACTCCGTCTCAAAAAACAAAACAAAACAAAACTGAAACATGATTAGATGTGCAAGAGATGTTGGAAGGGAAATATTTGTATATGAAAAAGAGGAAAGAGGCATAAGTAGGCAGGGAAGGACTTCAAACAACACCTTGGGTCTAAGAGGTCTAAGATATGTGAAAGGAGATTGGAGAGGAAGGACTGGGTAGGGAAAGCCTCATCACAGCACAGTGCTGAGAAAGTCTTGGCTAGACCAATGGGGAGTCCCCAAGCAAAAATGCCCGAGACTGGAATCCTGCCCTCGGCAGGAATGCACCAGCACCATTACCTCTGACATGCTGAATCACTGGCTGAGAACAGCCTGGAGGAAGCATGGTCTCATTGTGAATGCAATGGTAGCTCCAAAGAGGCAGAGGCATGTCCTTAGCACAAACAAGGCAGTGAATCCAAGGTGGCAGGAGAGCTGGAGCTGTCCATCAATTCTGCTTTCTGCTGGTCCTCCTGAAGGTGATCTGTGCAGTGTACTTCTGTGACTGCCACAGCCTTCCTGGGTAAGAGATACTTAAGTTAGTGTCTAATGGATAACTAGATGTTAGCCAGAGACAGCCTATTCCAGGTAGAGGAAATAGCATGGGTCAACATCCTGAGGAGGGGGAGGTCATGGCACATTCAAGGAGGTTAATAAGGAAGACCACTGCGGCTAGGGCGCAGAGTGAGATAGGAGTGGGTGTATAATAAGGCTGAAGATAGTAGCTTGGACCAGATCTCTGCAATGTCACAACAAACTCCACCTGGAGATTTTTGTCCTCAAACTTTGCCTTGGCAAGCTGCATGCTATTTTGCACATATGCTCCTTGCCCTGTTCAGAGTACTATAGGGAATAAGGTTCTGGTGCCAGCTCCTGTTCGGCCACTTACAGGCTGGTAGGTGGTTTTATGCAAATTTTAAAAACCTCTCTGGGCCTCAGTTTTTGTGTCTGTACAATGGGGATGAAAATAATAGTGCCTTGTGAAAAGAAAAGTAAGTGAGCTAATATATGTAAAGAGCTTAGCGTGATGCTTAGCATACTATAAGAACTCTTTAAGGATGATAAGAATTGCTGTTAAAGTAGCAGAAGTGACAGTGTGGTCACACCTAACATTTATTTATTTATTTCTATCGAGACAGAGACTTGCTCTGTTGCTCAGGCTGGAGTGCAGTGGTGCAATCACAGCTCACCACAACCTTGAACTCCTGGGCTCAAGCAATGCTCTCAGCCTAGGCTCCAGAGTAACTAGTACCACAGGCTGGGACCACCACACCTGGATTGTTTTTAAAAAAATTATTGGTAGAGACAGGGTCCCGCTGTATTACCCAGGCTTTTCTCCAACTCCTGGCTCCAAGTGATCCTCCAACCTCAGCCTTTCAAAGAGCTGGGATTAGACGCATGAGCCACCATGCCTGGTGATCTTTTAAATCAATAGACTTCCTCTGACAAGAACAAATATAGAAGTTACAATTTTTAAAACACTAAAATGTCCATTTATAATAGCAACTCTAGAATTGGATTATAACTACACTAAATCAGAGTTAAAGAAACTTGTACTAAAAGACCTAATAATAATAATAAAAAATACAGGAAAAATGCCTTTTTTCTTCTTTTCAGAGCTAGGCACCATGGGTCAGGCATTGTGTTAAGTCCTTCACATGCTTCAGTTTTTTCAGCCCTCACTGCAGCTCTCTAGAGGACATATTAACTCCATCATACAGATGTGGAAACTGGGGCTCAGAGAGGTTCAGTAACTTGCTCAGGTTGCAGAGCTAGGCAGTGGGCAGACATGGGGTCTCAAGCTTTCATTTCTCTCTCAGAAGTAGCATGCTATTCCCATTATATGACGTGAGCTCCATAATCATCAGTGCTTTGGGGGATACTCTTCTTAAAACTCAAATAAATAGGGAAATGGCTCTTGTTCCTAGACAAGTTACAAAAATGTAGTTCTTTCCACAGTTAATTTGCACATTTATTGCAACACCAGTCAAATTCCCAACAGGACTTTTCTTGCAATTGGACAGAGTAGTTCTGCCTTAGGTAAGAAAAACAGACTATTTAGACAAAAAGAAAAGAGGTGGAGCGTGACTCCCATCCACTGGCAAAATGCAGTAGTTAGGGGTCTTGGGTAGTTGACTCAGGAAGATCTGGGTTTGATTTCCAGCACTCATGCTTTATTTGCTGTATGAATTTGGGTAGATCAATCTGGTCTCGGTTTTATCTGTAAAATGGGGCTGATGATGCCTGCTTTTCAGAATGGTGAGGATAAAGCAAGTAAAGTGCCTGTCCTGGCACATAATAAGCCCTCAACAAATAGCAGCTAGTAATAATAGCAGTAGTATCAGATTGGTAGCAGTAGTATCAGAAAGCAGTAGCCTCAATGAGGACTTTTGTGCAGAGGTATTAGAAATTGAGGTGATACCTGAGGTCAGGAGTTCAAGACCAGCCTGACCAACATGGTGAATCCCTGTCTCTACTAAAAATACAAAAAATTAGCCGGTCATGGTGGCGGGCACCTGTAATCCCATCTACTCAGGAGGCTGAGGCAGGAGAATCACTTGAACCCAGGAGGTGGAGGTTATAGTGAGCTGAGATCGTGCCATTGCACTCCAGCCTAGGCAACAAGAGCAAAACTCTATCTCAAAAAAAGAAAAGTCTCAAATGCCTGATCTTCTTCTCCTTGGCTTGCTTCCTTGTCTCTCTGGGTGGAACCCTCCCAGGAAGGGCAGTTTGAATGGACTGACGGCTCATCCTATGACTACAGCTACTGGGATGGCAGCCAGCCAGATGATGGCATCCACGCGGACCCAGAAGAAGAGGACTGCGTGCAGATATGGTACAGGCCTACCAGTGGTGAGTGTCCCTGAGACCAAGGCTCTTTGAAGGACACCCGGGAGGCATCACAGATGGGGAGGGCGGAGAAGTGCCTTGGCGGAAGAGGAGCACTGAACAGCCTGAGACTGGCAAATTGTTCAGCACCTTGGAGAGCGGTTGACATCACTAGGGTGTTGGGGGCATGGCCATTCTCCACAGTGGACTTGCTTTAAACAACAGTAGTTGTTGTTTGTTTGTTTGTTTGTTTAACACGTGAATTCCAACTTAGATAGAAAGATATTATAAATGGAAGCATGAAGGGAAAAAAGACTTGTGTGGAGAGTAGTCCAGGGGTGGTGTTTCCATGTCAGCTCACCCACACACCAAAGTGCAAGCCCCTTCCCAAGGCTCATGCTCCTGAATATGTGAAGCAAGCCACACCTGGGGTGGCATGAGGGTGTAGGTAGTGACAAGAGAATAGACCTGGATTCAAATTCTGGCCCCGTTGCTTTCTAGCTCTGTGTCCTTGCAGAGAATTACTTATCCTCTCTGAAATTGTGTTTCTTCTTCTATAAAATGGGCTTAATAATTTGTCCTGCCTACAGGACTGCTGTGAGGATTAAAGGAGGTGCAGTTGATATAGCACCTGGCAAAAGCATGACTTGGGAGTTGACTGCCCTTGTGTGAACCCCCGCTCCACCCTTAATGTACAGCCCAAAGATAATTCCTTAACGTCTGGTGCCTCAGATTCTTTGTCTTCAACATGTGGCTAATGATACTTCCTCACAGATTAATGTGAATAAAAAAAGAAGACCATGTTCATAGAATAGCTGCCATGCTCAGTATTCAGTATTAGCAATCACCAGCATCATCATGAACGTCATCACTTTCACATCAATCTTAAGAAATAGAAACAATATCCCCGTTTTGCAGATGAGGAAAACGAGGCCCAGAGAAGTTTAGCAACTTGTTCCAGGTCACACAGCAAGCTAAGTAGTGGAGCTGGGTTTGAAGCCTAGATCTACAGAACTCCAGGCCCAGACACTTAATTGCTATTTCCTCTTTGCTCCCTTTTCTCTTCCTAATTAGGGGAGGGAGGTAGAGGACAGCTTATTATCCTTTATCTGGAAGGATATTATCCTCTACCGGGAGCCCTCCTGGAGCCTGGTAGCCAGTATTGGGCCAAGCCTCTGGTTGAAGTTCATCCTCCCAACCAAGGTGACAAGCCAGGATCAGCTTTATGCAAGAGTAAGGCTGGACAGCAGGCTTGTCACATATCAGCAAGAAGGGGCTGCCAGCGCAGACACGAGGCTTACTGGAGAGGGCTTTTGCTTCAAGGGAGTGGTGGGGTTACTTTTATCTTGGTGGTTGGATTTTCACCCAGATTCTCTGCTTCTTTTCATCACAGCTCTGAGGTCATGGAATGATAACACCTGCAGCCGAAAGTTCCCCTTTGTCTGTAAAATCCCGTCTCTGGCCATTCATTGATCCTGTCTTGTCCTACTGGTGTGAGCTGAACTCCAGTATCATCTTGTAGCTGTACCCAGTGTAGAATTGAAACTAAATACATGTAAAACATACATAGGAGGTAAATCTCTTGGATAGAGATTTTAAACAAGCAGATCTTAATTATACAGGGTGGTTACTTGGCCAAGTGACAGGAAATTATGCAGGGTGGTGACTTGGCCAGCTCAAATTGGCTTAATTAATTTTTTTAAAAGGTGTTGTTGTTGTTGTTGTTGTTTTTTAAATTGGCCCAAGTAACAGAAATCCAGAGGTTGTTCTGATTCAGAGTTGAATCTCACTGGGCTGGCTCAAGTCATATGCCCATCCCTGAAACTGTCACTCTGGCATATGCTAAGTGGCTAGACCCTGCTTAACTGCATATCTTTGGGACAGAATGGGGTGGGAGTGGGGGAAAATGGGAAGATGTTGGTCAAAGGATACAAACTTTCGGAAATAATAACTTCAGGAGACTTAATGTACAGTATGGACTATAGTTAATAATAATGTGTTGTGTTCCTGAAATTTACTAAGATAGTATTTTTTTTTTTTTTTTGAGACAGTATCGTACTCTCTTGCCTAGGCTGAAATGCAGTGATGCAATCACAGCTCACTGTAGCCTCAACCTCCTGGGCTTATGTGATCCTCCCACCTCCAGTCCCCAGAATAGCTGGGACTATAGGGCACTACAGGCATGTGCCACCACATCTGGCTAACATTTTTTTTTTTTGACGGGGTTCCACTCTTGTCGCTCAGGCTGGAGTGAAGTGGCACGATCTCACCTCTTTGCAACCTCCACCTCCCAGTTTCAATTGATTCTCCTGCCTCAGCCTCCCAAGTAGCTGGGATTACAGGTGCTTGCCACCACACCCAGCTAATTTTCATGTTTTTAGCAGAGACAGGGTGTCAGCTTGTTGGCCAGGCGGGTCTAGAACTCCTGACCTCAGGGGATCCACCCACCTCAGCCTCCCAAAGTGCTGGGATTAGAGACGTGAGCCACCTTGCCTGGCCATGTATTTTTTTTTTTAATAGAGATGAAGTTTCATCATGTTGTTCAAGCTGGTTTTGAACTCCTGGGCTCAAGGGGTCCACCCACCTCAGCCCAAAGTGCTGGGATTACAGTGTAAGCCACTGCACCCAGCCCAGAATATATCTTAAGTGTTCCCACCACCACATGGGCTCAAAGATGAGGCTGGTTCTTCAAAGGAAAACAATATTACCAAGCTCATAAGTTGCTGAAGGAAACGTAAAATAGTGAAGCCGCTGTGGAAAAGTTTGGCAATTCCTCAAAAAGTTAAACATAGAGTTAGATCTGACCCAGCAATTCCACTCATAGATCTAGACCCAAGAGAATTGGAAACAGGTATTCAAATATAAGTGGTCAGTTGGGTATGGTGGCTCATGCCTGTAATCCCAGCACTTTGGGAGGCCGAGGAGGAAGGATCAGTTGAGCCCAGGAGTTGAAGATCAGCCTGGGCAACATAGTAAGACTCCGTCTCCATAAGAAAATGTTTTAAGTTAACCAAGCATGGTGACACACATCTGTAGTCCCAGCTGTTTGGCAGGCTGAGATGGGAGGATCACTTGAGCCCAGGATATCAAGGCTGCAATGAACCATGATTGTGCTACTGCCTTCCAGCCTGGATGACAGAGAAAGACCTTGTCTCAAAAAACAAAACCAAAAGATCACAGCAACATTATTGATTTAAAAAAACTGAAGACAACCCAAGTGTTCACCAACAGATGAATGACTACATCAATGTGGTCTATTCATAGGGTGGAATATTATTCAAGCATGAAAAGGAGTGAAGTAAAGATAGATACTGCAGCCTGAATGAACCTGAAAAACTATACGCTACCAATCGCAAAAGACCACATGTTGTATGATTCCATGTATATGAAATATCCAGAATAGGCAAATCTATAGAGACAGAAAGTGGATTAGTGGCTGCTAGGGGATGTGTGGAAGGGGAATAGAAAGTGAGGGCTAATAGGTATGGGATTTCTTTGTGGGGTGACAAAAATGCTCTGCAATTAGACAGTGGTAATGATTGTACAATATTATAAATGAACAAGAAGTCACTCAATTGTACGTTTTTAAATAGTAGTTAATAAATTTTACATTATATGAATATTTTTATTTTTTGGAGACAGGGTCTCACTCTGTTGCCCAGTCTAGGGTGCAGTGTTGCAATCACTTCTCACTGCAGCCTTGACCCCTCAAGCTGAAGTGACCCTCCTGACTCACCTCCCGAGTAGCTGGGACTACAAAAGTGTACCACCTCTCCCAGCTATGTTTTTGCCTTCTTATTTTTTTGTAGAGACAGGGTTTCTGCATGTTGCCCAAGCTGGTGTCGAACTCCTGAGCTCAAGTAATCTGCCCACCTCAGCCTCCTGAAGTGCCAGGACTACAGGCATGATCCTCTATGCCTGGCCCATTATATGAATTTTATCTCAATTTTTAAAAATGTTACCAGAAGAAAAAATGCATGCCAGGAAGGAAGAACAACAGATATTTATTAGTAGAGAGAACATTGAACAGAGAGGCAGGAGACCTCAGTTCCATTTCCAATTCTCTGGGCCTTGTTTCTGCTTTGGTATGGATTGGGGTTGTTGGGGGGAACCTAAAAATCAGGCCCTTCAGTACCAACAAGGAAACAGAGATTAAAATATGCAAAAAAAAAAATCAATTGGCATTTGGTAAATTGTGCGGTTTCTCAGATTTTTGCGGGAACATTCTTCTGAAAAGGATGTTAAAATGGGACTTTACTGTGGCTTCAGAATTGGTCCTGGGGCCTCCAATTGAAAACAACAGGTTCTAATTACCTCTGGTTCTGAAGAGAGCAATGAACACATGGGACCATTCAGCCACCCTTAGAGCTTACATAATGATTTGCAGACCTGGCCTTACTACAGTCAATCACATGAGTAGGGGAAGACAAAGACTGAGATCCTTGGCCTTGTAGGGAATATAGCATCCACAGTGAAAAGGGTTTTTACCTTTTCTTTCTATGGAAGTAGGAGGGGATGCTTTCTCTCCATCTCCAATGTCAAACAAGCAGAACTTTAAGAAATTGCTTGTAGAGATTAGGGTACCCTTAAGAAAGGTACACTGGCTTTTCGCTCCCCAGCAGAATGTTGGCTATGTTCTTAAAAATTCTGCCCTCCCCAGTACTACACTGGAGAGGACCTGAGTCAGAGACTTCTCAAGAACGCTTCATGCACTCGGACACGGTGGCTCATGCCTGTCAGCCCAACACTTTGGGAGGCCAGCGTAGGAGGATCACTTGAGCCCAGGAGTACAAGATCAGTCTAAGCAACATAGTGAGACCCCACCTCTGCAAAAAAAAAAAAATAATAAAGAAAAATAGCCAGGTGCGGTGGCATACACCAGTAGTCCCAGCTACTCTGTGGCTGAGGCTGGGAGGATTCCTTTAGCCCAGGAGGTCCAGGCTGTAGTGAGCTGTGATCATGCCGCTGCATTCTAGCCTGGGTGACAGAGATCGATCCTGTCTCATTGAAAAAACAAGTAAACAAGCAAAAAAACCAAAAGGATGCTTTATGCATCTTGAGAATTTAGGAGTGTAAGGAGGAAAACTTTTCCTCTATCCTCTTATTTTCCTTTCTGGAGGCCTGTGAATCAAACTATCAAAAGACAAATTAACAGAAGAAAAGGCATAGAAGTTTTGTAGATGTTTTTACATGCCGAGGGACTTCATAGAAAAGAAGTGATAACCCAAAGAGGTGGTTAGATTTGGGGGCTTATCTACCATTTTAACAAAGGAGGATAAATTATGGAGAAGTGACTAGAAAAAGGAAAAGGGGGTTGGCTTTCTAGTGGTGGAAAATTGTGGGAAGGTGACTAGGAAATGGATGGTAGATCAAGATTGTTTAGTAAGGTTTGTTATGTAGACTCAAGTGATCTCCAGGGTCATTCACTTCTTCCTAGCACAGGAGAGGGGAATCACGCTTACAAATGGAAATGTATGTTACATTTACAAAGAGGATGTTATGCTCTGCGTGTAGGCAAATGTGGAGTCCTAATTAGGGAAAACTAGTCAGGCTGGTAGGACCAAGGGAAAGCAAAAAGAGAGAGCAGATTAGCTGTAAGTCTGTCTGCCTTTCTTCATGGTCCAGGACACAAGAGCCCTCCTACACAAAAAGCTCACGATCTTTCTGTGCCCAGCACCCACCAGATCCCTGCAAGTTAGCTCACTGCAGCCTTGGCATTATCAGTGCTGCACGCAGCGCTCTTTAGCATAAGCACCCTTCCATAACATCCCCAGCAACCGTTTGTTTCCTTGCTGACAGCCGCTTCTCTGCTGTGCTGCCCGTTGCAACCTTGCAACATACTTTCACAGTTTCTCTAATAAATCTGCCTTTTTTTTTTTTTTTTTTTTTTTTTTTTAACCTACAACTATCTTGGTAAATTCTTCTTACCCCTGCACCACTGGTCCCAGATAGTTGTCAATCACCCGTGACAGCATAGGGGGAGGACAGAGAGCTCTTCTTTTGTCTGCCATTTTTCTGTTTCTTTTTGTTTTTTGTAGAGATAAAATCTCACTATGTTGCTCAGGTTGTTCTCAAACTTCCAGCCTCAAACGATTCACTTGCCTCGGCCTCCCAAAGTGCTGGGATTACAGGTGTGAGCCACTGCACCTGGAGGCTGAGGTGGGAGGATTGCCTGGCATTTCTTAATTGTCTTTAGCTCAAAACAATCCTGATGCCAAAGTGGCATATTTTGGTATATCATATTCTGATCTCTTTTAGGGGCATCCATGAACAGACTATCATGCCTACTGGGACCCCAAGTTAGGAAGCTTCTTGTAATTTCCCAAAGCAGAGAGGGGAAAGAGGCAGCGGCAAGTGAGCCTGGAAAGAAAAAGATGGACACATGGGCCTGGGTAGTTCAGAAAAGGACTTTAGTGGCTCCCCCTGGCTCCACGAGAAGAAGCACAGAGCTTAGAGTTGTTGCTCTGTGCCTAAGCTGCCCCATCTGTAAAATGAGGACAGTCAGTATGTACCTCACCGAGGTCAGAATTCAATGAAATAATATATGTGCAGGCTTTGAACAATGCCTGCACATAGGGCTATGTAAATTAGGTATTATTCTTACTGTATTGGTTGGCAAGTGCTACAAAGTGCTATGGAACAAGCCACCCCAAAACTCAGTGGCTTAAAAAAACCATTGTTTATTATAACATGCATCTATGGGTCAGCTGGGATTTGACTGACCTATGGACCTATGCTGGGCTCTGCTGGGCAGCTGCAAGTCTCATTGCAAATCTTGAGGATAGCCAGGGTGCCTCTTCTTCGCCATGTGTCAGGGGTGCCAGTCAGGGTCTTGGCCAGGCATTACAAACCGCCTCAGTTGGAAGGCTAACTGCCTCTGACGTTCAGCACTCCG